CACTTTACTCTCTGTGTTTTCATCGTAGCACTTTACTCTGTGTTTTCATTGTAGCACTTTACTGTCTGTGTTTTCATCGTAGCACTTTACTCTGTGTTTTCATCGTAGCACTTTACTGTCGGTGTTTTCATTTGTAGCACTTTACTCTCTGTGTTTTCATTGTAGCACTTGACTCTGTGTTTTCATTGTAGCACTTTACTCTCTGTGTTTTCATTGTAGCACTTTACTGTCTGTGTTTTCATTGTAGCACTTTACTCTGTGTTTTCATCGTAGCACTTTACTCTGTGTTTTCATTGTAGCACTTTACTCTCTGTGTTTTCATTGTAGCACTTGACTCTGTGTTTTCATTGTAGCACTTTACTCTCTCTGTTTCCATTGTAGCACTTTACTATGTGTTTTCATTGTGGCACTTTACTCTCTCTGTGTTTTCATTGTAGCACTTTACTCTCTGTGTTTTCATTGTAGCACTTTACTCTGTGTTTTCATTGTAGCACTTTACTCTCTGTGTTTTCATTGTAGCACTTTACTCTCTGTGTTTTCATTGTAGCACTTTACTGTCTGTGTTTTCATTGTGGCACTTTACTCTCTGTGTTTTCATTGTGGCACTTTACTCTCTTTGTGTTTTCATTGTGGCACTTTACTCTCTGTGCTTTCATTGTAGCACTTTACTCTCTGTGTTTTCATTGTAGCACTTTACTCTCTTTGTGTTTTCAATGTGGCACTTTACTCTCTTTGTGTTTTCATTGTAGCACTTTATTGTCTGTGTTTTCATTGTAGCACTTTACTATGTGTTTTCATTGTGGCACTTTACTCTCTCTCTGTTTTCATTGTAGCACTTTACTCTGTTTTCATTGTAGCACTTTACTGTCTGTGTTTTCATTGTAGCACTTTACTCTCTGTGTTTTCATCGTAGCACTTTACTCTGTGTTTTCATTGTAGCACTTTACTGTCTGTGTTTTCATCGTAGCACTTTACTCTGTGTTTTCATCGTAGCACTTTACTGTCGGTGTTTTCATTGTAGCACTTTACTCTCTGTGTTTTCATTGTAGCACTTGACTCTGTGTTTTCATTGTAGCACTTTACTCTCTGTGTTTTCATTGTAGCACTTTACTGTCTGTGTTTTCATTGTAGCACTTTACTCTCTGTGTTTTCATCGTAGCACTTTACTCTGTGTTTTCATTGTAGCACTTTACTCTCTGTGTTTTCATTGTAGCACTTGACTCTGTGTTTTCATTGTAGCACTTTACTCTCTCTGTTTTCATTTTAGCACTTTACTATGTGTTTTCATTGTGGCACTTTACTCTCTCTGTGTTTTCATTGTAGCACTTTACTCTCTGTGTTTTCATTGTAGCACTTTACTCTGTGTTTTCATTGTAGCACTTTACTCTCTGTGTTTTCATTGTAGCACTTTACTCTCTGTGTTTTCATTGTAGCACTTTACTGTCTGTGTTTTCATCGTGGCACGTTTTCATTGTGGCACTTTACTCTGTGTTTTCATTGTAGCACTCTACTCTGTGTTTTCATTGTAGCACTTTACTCTCTGTGTTTTCATTGTAGCACTTTACTCTCTGTGTTTTCATTGTAGAACTTTACTCTCTGTGTTTTCATTGTGGCACTTTACTCTGTGTTTTCATTGTAGCACTCTACTCTGTGTTTTCATTGTAGCACTTTACTCTGTGTTTTCATTGTAGCACTTTACTCTCTGTGTTTTCATTGTGGCACTTTACTCTGTGTTTTCATTGTAGCACTCTACTCTGTGTTTTCATTGTAGCACTCTACTCTGTGTTTTCATTGTAGCACTTTACTCTGTGTTTTCATTGTAGCACTTTACTCTCTGTGTTTTCATTGTGGCACTTTACTCTGTGTTTTCATTGTAGCACTCTACTCTGTGTTTTCATTGTAGCACTTTACTCTCTGTGTTTTCATTGTAGCACTTTACTCTCTGTGTTTTCATTGTGGCACTTTACTCTGTGTTTTCATTGTAGCACTTTACTCTGTGTTTTCATTGTAGCACTTTACTGTCTGTGTTTTCATTGTAGCACTTTACTATGTGTTTTCATTGTGACACTTTACTCTCTCTGTGTTTTCATTGTAGCACTTTACTCTGTGTTTTCATTGTGGCACTTTACTCTCTCTGTGTTTTCATTGTAGCACTTTACTGTCTGTGTTTTCATTGTAGCACTTTACTCTGTGTTTTCATTGTAGCACTTTACTGTCTGTGTTTTTCATTGTAGCACTTTACTATGTGTTTTCATTGTGGCACTTTACTCTCTCTGTGTTTTCATTGTAGCACTTTACTCTGTGTTTTCATTGCAGCACTTTACTCTGTGTTTTTCATCGTAGCACTTCTCTGTGTTTTCATTGTAGCACTTTACTCTCTGTGTTTTCATTGTGGCACTTTACTCTGTGTTTTCATTGAAGGACTTTACTCTCTGTGTTTTCATTGTAGCACTTTACTGTCTGTGTTTTCATTGTAGCACTTTACTGTCTGTGTTTTCATTGTAGCACTTTACTCTGTGTTTTCATTGTAGCACTTTACTTTGTGTTTTCATTGTAGCACTTTACTCTGTGTTTTCATTGTAGCACTTTACTCTCTGTGTTTTCATTGTAGCACTTGACTCTGTGTTTTCATTGTAGCACTTTACTCTCTCTGTTTTCATTGTAGCACTTTACTATGTGTTTTCATTGTGGCACTTTACTCTCTCTGTGTTTTCATTGTAGCACTTTACTCTCTGTGTTTTCATTGTAGCACTTTACTCTGTGTTTTCATTGTAGCACTTTACTCTCTGTGTTTTCATTGTAGCACTTTACTCTCTGTGTTTTCATTGTAGCACTTTACTGTCTGTGTTTTCATTGTGGCACTTTACTCTCTGTGTTTTCATTGTGGCACTTTACTCTCTTTGTGTTTTCATTGTGGCACTTTACTCTCTGTGCTTTCATTGTAGCACTTTACTCTCTGTGTTTTCATTGTAGCACTTTACTCTCTTTGTGTTTTCAATGTGGCACTTTACTCTCTTTGTGTTTTCATTGTAGCACTTTATTGTCTGTGTTTTCATTGTAGCACTTTACTATGTGTTTTCATTGTGGCACTTTACTCTCTCTCTGTTTTCATTGTAGCACTTTACTCTGTTTTCATTGTAGCACTTTACTGTCTGTGTTTTCATTGTAGCACTTTACTCTCTGTGTTTTCATCGTAGCACTTTACTCTGTGTTTTCATTGTAGCACTTTACTGTCTGTGTTTTCATCGTAGCACTTTACTCTGTGTTTTCATCGTAGCACTTTACTGTCTGTGTTTTCATTGTAGCACTTTACTCTCTGTGTTTTCATTGTAGCACTTTACTGTCTGTGTTTTCATTGTAGCACTTTACTCTGTGTTTTCATCGTAGCACTTTACTCTGTGTTTTCATTGTAGCACTTTACTCTCTGTGTTTTCATTGTAGCACTTGACTCTGTGTTTTCATTGTAGCACTTTACTCTCTCTGTTTTCATTGTAGCACTTTACTATGTGTTTTCATTGTGGCACTTTACTCTCTCTGTGTTTTCATTGTAGCACTTTACTCTCTGTGTTTTCATTGTAGCCGTTTACTCTGTTTTTTCATTGTAGCACTTTACTCTGTGTTTTCATTGTGGCACTTAACTCTCTCTGTGTTTTCATTGTAGCACTTTACTCTCTGTGTTTTCATTGTGGCACGTTTTCATTGTGGCACTTTACTCTGTGTTTTCATTGTAGCACTCTACTCTGTGTTTTCATTGTAGCACTTTACTCTCTGTGTTTTCATTGTAGCACTTTACTCTCTGTGTTTTCATTGTAGAACTTTATCTCTCTGTGTTTTCATTGTGGCACTTTACTCTGTGTTTTCATTGTAGCACTCTACTCTGTGTTTTCATTGTAGCACTTTACTCTGTGTTTTCATTGTAGCACTTTACTCTCTGTGTTTTCATTGTGGCACTTTACTCTGTGTTTTCATTGTAGCACTCTACTCTGTGTTTTCATTGTAGCACTCTACTCTGTGTTTTCATTGTAGCACTTTACTCTGTGTTTTCATTGTAGCACTTTACTCTCTGTGTTTTCATTGTGGCACTTTACTCTGTGTTTTCATTGTAGCACTCTACTCTGTGTTTTCATTGTAGCACTTTACTCTCTGTGTTTTCATTGTAGCACTTTACTCTCTGTGTTTTCATTGTGGCACTTTACTCTGTGTTTTCATTGTAGCACTTTACTCTGTGTTTTCATTGTAGCACTTTACTGTCTGTGTTTTCATTGTAGCACTTTACTATGTGTTTTCATTGTGACACTTTACTCTCTCTGTGTTTTCATTGTAGCACTTTACTCTGTGTTTTCATTGTGGCACTTTACTCTCTCTGTGTTTTCATTGTAGCACTTTACTGTCTGTGTTTTCATTGTAGCACTTTACTCTGTGTTTTCATTGTAGCACTTTACTGTCTGTGTTTTTCATTGTAGCACTTTACTATGTGTTTTCATTGTGGCACTTTACTCTCTCTGTGTTTTCATTGTAGCACTTTACTCTGTGTTTTCATTGCAGCACTTTACTCTGTGTTTTTCATCGTAGCACTTCTCTGTGTTTTCATTGTAGCACTTTACTCTCTGTGTTTTCATTGTGGCACTTTACTCTGTGTTTTCATTGAAGGACTTTACTCTCTGTGTTTTCATTGTAGCACTTTACTGTCTGTGTTTTCATTGTAGCACTTTACTGTCTGTGTTTTCATTGTAGCACTTTACTCTGTGTTTTCATTGTAGAACTTTACTCTGTGTTTTTCATTGTAGCACTTTACTCTCTGTGTTTTCATTGTAGCACTTTACTCTCTGTGTTTTCATTGTGGCACTTTACTCTGTGTTTTCATTGTAGCACTTTACTCTGTGTTTTCATTGTAGCACTTTACTCTCTGTGTTTTCATTGTAGCACTTTACTCTCTGTGTTTTCATTGTAGCACTTTACTCTCTCTGTGTTTTCATTGCAGCACTTTACTGTCTGTGTTTTCATTGTAGCACTTTACTGTCTGTTTTTTCATTGTAGCACTTTACTCTCGTCCCCGTCTCGTCCCCGTCTCGTCCCCGTCTCGTCCCCGTCTCGTCCCCGTCCCCTCCCGTCTCGTCCCCGTCCCCTCCCGTCTTGTCCCCTCCCGTCTCGTCCCCGTCTCGTCCCCGTCTCGTCCCCGTCCCCTCCCGAATCGTCCCTGTCTCGTGGTTGTGCAGAACAAACAACACACAGACAATCAGGGTTTGATCCGTGTCGACTGGAGACGACATGAAAGTCTGGCCTCGGTCTGTTTACCGAGCGGCGCCGTGTGTTGCTGATAACGGCGTTGGCTGCGTCTCCGCGGTCTCGTCGGTCTGTTTACCGAGCGGCGCCGTGTGTTGCTGATAACGGCGTTGGCTGCGTCTCCGCGGTCTCTGGGTGACTTTGTGTCGTGTCGTAGCCGCAGGTCGGAGCCGATGGAAACTCGCCGATAACCGAGTCGGTCGGATCGGGACGAGGCTCCCGGGGAGGACGTGGAAATCTGCAGCAAACATGAGAATCACAGATGCTAATTAGCAGCTGACGTTAGCGTTCAATGACAGCTAACGCTAGGGGACACTGCACAGAGCTTTGGATCGGTCCGGACGGATTTAATGACACGTGGTAACAGCTCCATGACTCACTGTTAGCTTCCATGACTCACTGTTAGCTTCCATGACTCACTGTTAGCACACCTGTACATAAGACACATCTGTATATAAGACAGATGTGTCTTATGTGTGGCTATGCGAGTAACAGTTAGGCGAGTAACAGTTGGGCTAGTAACAGTTAGGCTAGTAACAGTTAGGCGAGTAACAGTTAGGCTAGTAACAGTTAGGCTAGTAACAGTTGGGCTAGTAACAGTTAGGCTAGTAACAGTTAGGCTAGTAACAGTTAGGCTAGTAACAGTTGGGCTAGTAACAGTTAGGCTAGTAACAGTTGGGCTAGTAACAGTTAGGCTAGTAACAGTTAGGCGAGTAACAGTTAGGCTAGTAACAGTTAGGCTAGTAACAGTTGGGCTAGTAACAGTTAGGCTAGTAACAGTTAGGCTAGTAACAGTTAGGCTAGTAACAGTTGGGCTAGTAACAGTTAGGCTAGTAACAGTTGGGCTAGTAACAGTTAGGCTAGTAACAGTTAGGCTAGTAACAGTTAGGCTAGTAACAGTTAGGCTAGTAACAGTTAGACTAGTAACAGTTAGGCTAGTAACAGTTGGGCTAGTAACAGTTAGGCTAGTAACAGTTAGGCTAGTAACAGTTGGGCTAGTAACAGTTGGGCTAGTAACAGTTGGGCTAGTAACAGTTAGGCTAGTAACAGTTGGGCTAGTAACAGTTAGGCTAGTAACAGTTAGGCTAGTAACAGTTAGGCTAGTAACAGTTAGGCTAGTAACAGTTAGGCTAGTAACAGTTAGGCTAGTAACAGTTGGGCTAGTAACAGTTAGGCTAGTAACAGTTGGGCTAGTAACAGTTAGGCTAATAACAGTTAGGCTAGTAACAGTTGGGCTAGCAACAGTTAGGCTAGTAACAGTTAGGCTAGTAACAGTTAGGCTAGTAACAGTTGGGCTAGTAACAGTTAGGCTAGTAACAGTTAGGCTAGTAACAGTTAGGCTAGTAACAGTTAGGCTAGTAACAGTTAGGCTAGTAACAGTTAGGCTAGTAACAGTTGGGCTAGTAACAGTTGGGCTAGTAACAGTTGGGCTAGTAGCAGTTAGGCTAGTAACAGTTGGGCTAGTAACAGTTAGGCTAGTGACAGTTAGGCTAGCAACAGTTAGGCTAGTAGCAGTTAGGCTAGTAACAGTTAGGCTAGTAACAGTTAGGCTAGTGACAGTTGGGCTAGTAGCAGTTAGGCTAGTAACAGTTAGGCTAGTGACAGTTGGGCTAGTAGCAGTTAGGCTAGTAACAGTTAGGCTAGTAACAGTTGGGCTAGTAGCAGTTAGGCTAGTAACAGTTAGGCTAGTAACAGTTAGGCTAGTAACAGTTGGGCTAGTAACAGTTAGGCTAGTAACAGTTAGGCTAGTAACAATTGGGCTAGTAACAGTTAGGCTAGTAACAGTTGGGCTAGTAACAGTTAGGCTAGTAACAGTTAGGCTAGTAACAGTTAGGCTAGTAACAGTTGGGCTAGTAACAGTTAGGCTAGTAACAGTTAGGCTAGTAACAGTTAGGCTAGTAACAGTTGGGCTAGTAACAGTTAGGCTAGTAACAGTTAGGCTAGTAACAGTTGGGCTAGTAACAGTTAGGCTAGTAACAGTTGGGCTAGTAACAGTTGGGCTAGTAACAGTTGGGCTAGTAACAGTTAGGCTAGTAACAGTTGGGCTAGTAACAGTTGGGCTAGTAACAGTTAGGCTAGTAACAGTTGGGCTAGTAACAGTTGGGCTAGTAACAGTTGGGCTAGTAACAGTTAGGCTAGTGACAGTTAGGCTAGTAACAGTTAGGCTAGTAACAGTTAGGCTAGTAACAGTTAGGCTAGTAACAGTTAGGCTAGTAACAGTTAGGCTAGTAACAGTTAGGCTAGTAACAGTTAGGCTAGTAACTTCCAAACTAGAACTCTCTGGAGCATGACTCAGCAGAATCCTGAACATCAGCGGTGAGTGACACAAACATAAACTTAACATAAATCCATAATTCCATCCTCTGCAAATGTTCCTAAAATGTGCCGTATTTACTTCCGGGTTTTTCACCATCGCCTTTTCTCACATTATCAGTGTTTTTGTCATGAAAACGTAAACGGATAATTCTGAAAACGTCCGTGCACTTGTGTTAAGACTGGATATGTATAATGTACTCTCCTATTAACATTTAAGTGTGTTTAATGATTGGTATTTGCGTTTAATGAGCGTGAAAAGCTCTGGAGTGGCCGGAACTACTTATTCACGCATCTGAAAGACAAGCAGAGAGTGCGTTGCCAAAGGGCAGCGGTCATTATTGTTTTGAGAGGTCCGTTATAAAAGGTAATGACCTGTAGGTTGGTTAGAGTCACGACAGTCTGTGATTGGTTTGTTTTTGGAGAAGCCAAACACGGCGGCCATCTTGCTGCTTGATGCTCAGACTTTATTCCTCTGCCTCCGGCGCCGACACGATTACAAACTCTGGCAAAAAACAACAGCGGTGTTTCATGTGTCGGCCGAACATTTGAAAGTATACATTATGCAGCGACGCCGAGAGCGGGGGAGGAGCAGAGCATGCTGGGTAATGGCTGCTGTTGCATCATCAGACTTCACCTGTTCTCACTTCAAACCACTCTCACCCCGATCAGAGCGGATCAGACGCCCAGGCCGCTCAGCTCAACACGCACACAGAGACGCACACACACACACAGACACACACACACACACAGACACACACACACACACAGAGACACACACACACACACAGAGACACACACACACACACACACAGAGACACACACACACACACAGACAGAGACACACACACACACACACACAGAGACACACACACACACACAGACAGATTCACACGCAGACGCACACACAGAGACACACACACGCACACACAGACAGATGCACACACACACACACACAGACGCACACACAGAGACGCACACACACACACACACAGATGCACACACAGAGACGCACACACACAGCCAGCTCCAGATACTATAACATCAGGGAAAGGCAAGACCTACCTGATGTTGCATCACCTCGGCTGCTTCTATCGCCGGGTTGTGTTGCTCTGTGTGGGTTTGTGTTGCTCTGTGTGTGTTTGTGTTGCTCTGTGTGTGTTTGTGTTGCTCTGTGTGTGTGTGTGTGTGTTGCTTTGTGTGTGTATGTGTTGCTCTAAGTGGGATTGTGTTGCTCTGTGTGTGTTTGTGTTGCTCTGTGTGTGTGTGTGTTGCTTTGTGTGTGTATGTGTTGCTCTAAGTGGGATTGTGTTACTCTGTGTGTTGCTGTGTTGTGTTGAAAGCCAAGGGATAGAGCTTTCATTTGGTATGTTTCATACTTGTGTCAACTAAGGGCTCACATTTCTATGCGGTTCGGAAAAACACTAAAAATGTCCAAAATCTCTGGTAGTCTGAGGGATGCTGCTTTTTAAATGGCTGGCAGTGAATGAGTTAAGGACCAATGACTTTCTTGCTTTTAAAGTGTACGAATACTTTTGCACGCCGCACTTTTCATTTCTTTTCTCTACTTTTAAGAAAGAAAAACTAGTTCTCTTTTTGACTGGACATTTTTTTCCTCAAGACGATTTGCTGCAATAACAAACTTAGCTTTTGCCGCTCCGTGCATGACTCTGCGATGTCAGGCCGCCTTTCTGCACCGCTGAAAACATCCCTTTCTTTACCTTTATCTAAGAATGTAAAAGGACTAAAGCAGAGAGAGCCTTGGAACGTGTCAGAAAACGGCGTGTCCCTGAGAGAAAGCCACCGGACTATTATTCTCTGAAATAGACTTGGTTTCAATGAGCTGCCAGAGAAATGGGAAACGCCTCCACGTGAAAGACATTTGGAGCTGGTTAGACGTCTATGTTTAGGTCCCGGAGTGGGATCTTTACGGGGATTAGCGACGGTACATGCTCGGCACACATGCAGCTGGGTGGGTAGTATGTAAAGGTGAATTATGGGAGATCGTGTATAATCCGGTAAAGAAGGATAAACTATGAAAAAGTAGAGTTTAAGGAAGAAGATAAGACGTAGCTCTCAGGATTACATTCACTCACAGACATAAACTGTGCCGCAGACTTTAAATAGGTTTTAAATACGTTACTTTACCCTTTTAAGGTTTCCTCAAACATTGGGTAGATCTTGTCACTGCTTTGGAGTTCTGGTCTCTGTCCATGTCTGTGCTGTTCCTGGTTCTTTTTGGATTCTCGAGTTTGGTTTTCCCTGGACTTTGACTTCATAATCTTCATAAAATCATATTTTTGGCATTCCCGCATTTTAGGTCCTTTCTTCATTTCAAACTGTGACAGAAATCTAACTCCATGTAACTGACCTCAGTCCTGGGTCTACAGCCTCTCCGTCCCTCCCTCAGTGTGGGGTCCTCTTGAGGTATCTCAATTTCTCCCACTGGTTTTAGAGTTTCTCTGATGCAGGAGGGTCCAGGACACTCCACATTAATGGACATTGGTTTCTGCTCCTTATGAACCAAGGGCTTCATGTGTTTTTCTCCCTCTCTGGTCTCTCTCTCTCTGGTCTCTCTCTGGTCTCTCTCTCTGGTCTCTCTCTGGTCTCTCTCTCTCTGGTCTCTCTCTCTGGTCTCTCTCTGGTCTCTCTCTCTCTGGTCTCTCTCTCTGGTCTCTCTGTTTCTCTCCGGTTTCTCTCTGGGCTACAGTATCACAGCAGTATCACAGCAGTATCACAGCAGTATCACAGTAGTATCACAGCAGTATCACAGCAGTATCACCGCAGTATCACAGCAGTATCACAGTAGTATCACCGCAGTATCACAGCAGTATCACAGCAGTATCACAGTAGTATCACAGTAGTATCACAGCAGTATCACAGTAGTATCACAGCAGTATCACAGTAGTATCACAGCAGTATCACAGCAGTATCACAGCAGTATCACAGTAGTATCACAGCAGTATCACCGCAGTATCACAGCAGTATCACAGCAGTATCACAGCAGTATCACAGTAGTATCACAGCAGTATCACCGCAGTATCACAACAGTATCACAGCAGTATCACAGTAGTATCACCGCAGTATCACAGCAGTATCACAGTAGTATCACAGCAGTATCACCGCAGTATCACAGTAGTATCACAGCAGTATCACAGCAGTATCACAGCAGTATCACAGCAGTATCACAGTAGTATCACAGCAGTATCACAGCAGTATCACCGCAGTATCACAGCAGTATCACAGCAGTATCACAGCAGTATCACAGTAGTATCACAGCAGTATCACAGCAGTATCACAGTAGTATCACAGTAGTATCACAGTAGTATCACAGCAGTATCACCGCAGTATAACAGCAGTATCACAGCAGTATCACAGTAGTATCACAGCAGTATCACAGCAGTATCACAGCAGTATCACAGCAGTATCACAGCAGTATCACAGCAGTATCACAGCAGTATCACAGCAGTATCACAGTAGTATCACAGTAGTATCACAGTAGTATCACAGCAGTATCACAGTAGTATCACAGCAGTATCACAGCAGTATCACAGCAGTATCACAGTAGTATCACAGCAGTATCACAGCAGTATCACCGCAGTATCACAGCAGTATCACAGCAGTATCACAGTAGTATCACAGCAGTATCACAGCAGTATCACAGTAGTATCACAGTAGTATCACAGTAGTATCACCGCAGTATCACAGCAGTATCACAGCAGTATCACCGCAGTATAACAGCAGTATCACAGCAGTATCACAGTAGTATCACAGTAGTATCACAGCAGTATCACAGCAGTATCACAGTAGTATCACCGCAGTATCACAGCAGTATCACAGTAGTATCACAGCAGTATCACCGCAGTATCACAGCAGTATCACAGCAGTATCACAGTAGTATCACAGCAGTATCACAGCAGTATCACCGCAGTATCACAGTAGTATCACAGCAGTATCACCGCAGTATCACAGCAGTATCACAGTAGTATCACCGCAGTATCACAGCAGTAGCACAGTAGTATCACCGCAGTATCACAGCAGTATCACAGCAGTATCACAGCAGTATCACAGTAGCATCACAGCAGTATCACAGCAGTATCACAGCAGTATCACAGCAGTATCACAGTAGTATCACAGCAGTATCACAGCAGTATCACAGTAGTATCACAGTAGTATCACAGTAGTATCACAGCAGTATCACAGCAGTATCACAGTAGTATCACAACAGTATCACAGTAGTATCACAGTAGTATCACAGCAGTATCACAGCAGTATCACAGCAGTATCACAGTAGTATCACAGCAGTATCACAGTAGTATCACAGCAGTATCACAGTAGTATCACAGTAGTATCACAGCTATCACAGCAGTATCACAGCAGTATCACAGTAGTATCACCGCAGTATCACAGCAGTATCACAGCAGTATCACAGTAGTATCACAGTAGTATCACAGTGTATCACAGCAGTATCACAGCAGTATCACAGCAGTATCACAGCAGTATCACAGCAGTATCACAGCAGTATCACAGCAGTATCACAGCAGTATCACAGCAGTATCACAGTAGTATCACAGCAGTATCACAGTAGTATCACAGCAGTATCACAGCAGTATCACAGTAGTATCACAGTAGTATCACAGCAGTATCACAGCAGTATCACAGCAGTATCACAGCAGTATCACAGCAGTATCACAGCAGTATCACAGTAGTATCACAGTAGTATCACAGCAGTATCACAGCAGTATCACAGCAGTATCACAGCAGTATCACAGCAGTATCACAGCAGTAGTATCACAGCAGTATCACAGCAGTATCACAGCAGTATCACAGCAGTATCACAGCAGTATCACAGCAGTATCACAGTAGTATAACAGCAGTATCACAGCAGTATCACCGCAGTATCACAGTAGTATCACAGTAGTATCACAGCAGTACAGTATTGCTGCCTCCTTGGTCTCTGATGAGTGCAGAGTGTGTTTGTGAAGAGGGTTCGGGGACTCTGGGCCTCTTAAAGTTCTGAAAACACATTTAAACCCCTCACCGCTGCGCCGTATCCACACCAGGATTACTCCAAACTTTATGACAAACACAGTTTGGTCTCAGTTCTCTCTCTCCATCCTCAAACCCTCTGATCCGCACCTGTGTCGCCGCCTTCCACCAGACCTGGCTCCGGCTCTTGTTTACCAGACTTCATAATGAGCTGTGTTTACGCTTTGGACGCACAAGCTCGTTACTGTTCTCAGGAAACGTAGTCGGAATGAGCTCGAGAACACAACAAGGTCATTCCTCTGGACACACCGTGGCGAGAACACACTCCCGGATGACCTCGCTCCCCCACACGGTTCCCGGTGATGTGTCCGGTCGTGTTCTCCTCTGGGCTCCGGGCGGCGGTTTGACGGCGAGCAGGAGTGACGGTGTTAAGAGCATTAACATTTTCAGACCAGGACTCACTAATCAGGATGTTGTCTGTGGGAGGAGAGCGTCGTCGGAGCGTTGCAATTTAGTGAGCGCTGGCAGCACCAACCGCACCAGCACCAACAGCACCAGCACCAACCGCACCAGCACCAACAGCACCGGCACCAACCGCACCAGCACCAACAGCACCAGCACCAACCGCACCAGCACCAACAGCACCGGCACCAACAGCACCGGCACCAACAGCACCAGCACCAACCGCACCGGCACCAACCGCACCAGCACCAACAGCACCAGCACCAACAGCACCAGCACCAACCGCACCAGCACCAACAGCACCGGCACCAACCGCACCAGCACCAACAGCACCAGCACCAACAGCACCGGCACCAACAGCACCGGCACCAACAGCACCAGCACCAACCGCACCGGCACCAACCGCACCAGCACCAACAGCACCAGCACCAACAGCACCAGCACCAACCGCACCGGCACCAACCGCACCAGCACCAACAGCACCAGCACCAACAGCACCAGCACCAACCGCACCAGCACCAACAGCACCGGCACCAACCGCACCAGCACCAACCGCACCAGCACCAACAGCACCGGCACCAACAGCACCGGCACCAACAGCACCAGCACCAACCGCACCGGCACCAACCGCACCAGCACCAACAGCACCAGCACCAACAGCACCAGCACCAACCGCACCAGCACCAACAGCACCGGCACCAACCGCACCAGCACCAACAGCACCAGCACCAACAGCACCAGCACCAACCGCACCAGCACCAACAGCACCGGCACCAACAGCACCGGCACCAACAGCACCGGCACCAACAGCACCGGCACCAACAGCACCAGCACCAACCGCACCAGCACCAACCGCACCGGCACCAACCGCACCGGCACCAACCGCACCGGCACCAACCGCACCGGCACCAACCGCACCAGCACCAACCGCACCAGCACCAACAGCACCGGCACCAACAGCACCAGCACCAACCGCACCAGCACCAACCGCACCGGCACCAACCGCACCGGCACCAACCGCACCAGCACCAACAGCACCGGCACCAACCGCACCAGCACCAACAGCACCGGCACCAACCGCACCGGCACCAACCGCACCAGCACCAACAGCACCGGCACCAACCGCACCAGCACCAACCGCACCGCACAGCACCAGCACCAACAGCACCAGCACCAACAGCACCAGCACCAACCGCACCAGCACCAACAGCACCGGCACCAACAGCACCGGCACCAACAGCACCGGCACCAACAGCACCGGCACCAACAGCACCAGCACCAACCGCACCAGCACCAACCGCACCGGCACCAACCGCACCGGCACCAACCGCACCGGCACCAACCGCACCGGCACCAACCGCACCAGCACCAACAGCACCGGCACCAACCGCACCAGCACCAACCGCACCAGCACCAACCGCACCAGCACCAGCACCAACAGCACCGGCACCAACAGCACCAGCACCAACCGCACCAGCACCAACCGCACCGGCACCAACCGCACCGGCACCAACCGCACCAGCACCAACAGCACCGGCACCAACCGCACCGGCACCAACAGCACCGGCACCAACAGCACCAGGAGAGAGAGATTTCTATTCTGACATGATCTCCTGCTTCCTTTACGGCTCTTTTCAGGAGAGAATAAGCGTGTTGTACAATCATATATAACAGACGTGACGGTGGTGATTACGGCCCTCTGTGTTCTTTCATGTGGCCCTCTGTGTTCTTTCATGTGGCCCTCTGCTGCTAACACAAAGTCTCCATTGAGGCACTTTGATAGTGTCATCCAGCAAACTTCAGCTCCACCAACACATGCTGTACCGTGTTGTAAATATCTCACCCTGCAGAATCCAGTCGTTGACTCCATTGTTATTGACTCAAACAGGACGGATCATAATCTATTTTAAATTCCAGAATCCAGTTTTTAAATCCATGTTGTCGGTTGTTCATCAAGTCTGATGAACTGACTCTAGCCAATGAGTTTGTACCTGTTGCTTTTATTTCAAAGTAATGTATTTCTACAATATTACTGTCTCTGAATTGTAAAGCATCACACGACTGCGGTAGTAGTTATATATTTAGTCCCTAAATACACACACACATATGTTAGCTTGAGGCTGATAGAGCTTTTTGTTTGAACATAAACACAGTACTATTGTCCAGATAGTACTATTGTGCTGCTGCTTCAGCCTCTTCTCCAGAAAGGAACAGCACAGAGCACGAGGCAGAGGCAGAGGCAGAGGCAGAGGCAGAGACAGAGGCAGAGGCAGAGACAGAGGCAGAGACAGAGGCAGAGGCAGAGGCAGAGGCAGAGGCAGAGACAGAAGCAGAGGCAGAGGCAGAGGCAGAGACAGAGGCAGAGACAGAGGCAGAGACAGAGGCAGAGACAGAGGCAGAGGCAGAGGCAGAGGCAGAGGCAGAGGCAGAGGCAGAGACAGAAGCAGAGGCAGAGACAGAGGCAAAGACAGAGGCAGAGGCAGAGACAGAGGCAGAGACAGAGGCAGAGACCGAGGCAGAGACAGAGGCAGAGACAGAAGCAGAGGCAGAGGCAGAGGCAGAGGCAGAGGCAGAGGCAGAGACAGAGGCAGAGACAGAGGCAGAGACAGAGACAGAGACAGAGGCAGAGGCAGAGGCAGAGACAGAGGCAGAGACAGAGACAGAGACAGAGGCAGAGACAGAGACAGAGACAGAGGCAGAGGTTGCCTGGCCTGCCAAACGATATGCTTTTTCAAAGACATATAGTCTGGGAACGAGCTTGATCTCAGCGAATTCCCGGTGGGCGTGGTTGACAGACTGCATCAACCAATTAGATGCACACAGGATATGACGCAGCAACTAGCGGCACCCAAGCCGTTTCAGTAAACACAAAACAAGGGATGGCGGCATGTCAGCTAGTGCAAATGTAAACGACTGCTGTCGATTTTGTAAAAAAAACTTAAAGATACGAGGAGTTATTAGCAACTCAAAGGTGAAAGGAAGTCCCGCCTCTCGGTGCGTGATTGGACCGATGTGGGTAAAATCGTGAAATGATAGGCTAGGAAGAGGTGTCCAGACGGTTCTTCTTTTGAACAGAAAGGAGGAGTGTCTGGCAGGCCAGGCAAAGGCAGAGGCAGAGGCAGAGACAGAGGCAGAGGCAGAGGCAGAGGCAGAGGCAGAGGCAGAGACAGAGACAGAGACAGAGACAGAGGCAGAGACAGAGGCAGAGGCAGAGACAGAGGCAAAGACAGAGGCAGAGGCAGAGACAGAGGCAGAGACAGAGGCAGAGGCAGAGACAGAGGCAGAGACAGAGGCAGAGGCAGAGGCAGAGGCAGAGGCAGAAGCAGAGGCAGAGGCAGAGGCAGAGACAGAGGCAAAGACAGAGGCAGAGGCAGAGACAGAGGCAGAGGCAGAGGCAGAGACAGAGGCAAAGACAGAGGCAGAGGCAGAGACAGAGACAGAGGCAGAGGCAGAGGCAGAGGCAGAGACAGAGGCAGAGGCAGAGGCAGAGACAGAGACAGAGGCAGAGACAGAGGCAAAGACAGAGGCAGAGGCAGAGACAGAGACAGAGGCAGAGGAAGAGACAGAGGCAGAGGCAGAGGCAGAGGCAGAGGCAGAGGCAGAGACAGAGGCAGAGACAGAGGCAGAGGCAGAGACAGAGACAGAGGCAGAGGAAGAGACAGAGGCAGAGGCAGAGGCAGAGACAGAGGCAGAGGCAGAGGAAGAGACAGAGGCAGAGGCAGAGGCAGAGGCAGAGACAGAGGCAGAGGCAGAGGCAGAGGCAGAGACAGAGGCAGAGGCAGAGGCAGAGGCAGAGGCAGAGACAGAGACAGAGACAGAGGCAGAGGCAGAGGCAGAGGCAGAGGCAGAGGCAGAGGCAGAGGCAGAGGCAGAGGCAGAGGCAGAGACAGAGGCAGAGGCAGAGGCAGAGACAGAGACAGAGGCAGAGGCAGAGGCAGAGGCAGAGACAGAGGCAGAGGCAGAGGCAGAGGCAGAGGCAGAGACAGAGGCAAAGACAGAGGCAGAGGCAGAGACAGAGGCAGAGACAGAGGCAGAGGCAGAGACAGAGGCAGAGACAGAGGCAGAGGCAGAGGCAGAGGCAGAGGCAGAGACAGAGACAGAGGCAGAGGCAGAGGCAGAGACAGAGGCAGAGGCAGAGGCAGAGGCAGAGGCAGAGACAGAGACAGAGGCAGAGACAGAGACAGAGGCAGAGGCAGAGGCAGAGGCAGAGGCAGAGGCAGAGGCAGAGACAGAGACAGAGGCAGAGGCAGAGGCAGAGGCAGAGACAGAGACAGAGGCAGAGGCAGAGGCAGAGGCAGAGACAGAGACAGAGACAGAGACAGAGACAGAGGCAGAGGCAGAGGCAGAGACAGAGACAGAGACAGAGGCAGAGACAGAGACAGAGAGAGCTGATTCTGGAGCTTTTGTAGAGGCCTGATTGTAGACTGGAGGCAGCTGGGTCTGATCAGCTTCTCCCACAGACCTGCTCTGGGAGGCAGCTCCAGGAGAGGAGGGAGAGGGGGAGAGAGGGGGAGAGGGAGAGGGGGAGAGGGGGAGAGGGAGAGGGGGGGGGGGGGGGGGGAGGCTGTCGGTGATAGCATTACATCCTCTTTTTGACCCAGTTTATTTATTAACATGATGTTACTTTGGCTCCCATGTGTCGTGTGCAGGACAGACCTTAGAGCACTCTGTGATTGGGCAAGACTCATCAAAACACTGTTCAAAGATCAAAAAGTAGATGTTTTTGTGCATATGGTGTGTTCTTAAAAACCTGAATAGCATCTGACTGTGTTCACTCATGTCGTTCTGGTCCTGGTCCTGGTCCTGGTCCTGGTCCTGGTCCGGGTCTGAAACAGGATTTAAAGCTTTGTCTCTGATTCTTAATGTTTGTTAAACTGAGAGGAATTCAGTCCTGTTTTTATCATGTTTTTACAGTTTCCTCTCATTCTGACGAAAGAGTCCGTTTTCTCACTACATACCATATCTATAAATATGTGTTTGTGTTTGTCACACTTAGGCTCCGCCCTCTTACAGATAATTAGGTCCAAATGGTACTGTTTAGTTCTTACCCAACATGGCCTGGATCAACATCTAAGGAATCAATCTGACATTTAGACATTGGGGCGACAGTAGCTCAGTTGGTAGAGCATTGGCTCTACTTCCCACCTCCACACCCTCTCCACCGACTCCCACTGATGACTGCTGTCGTTGTGTCCTTGGGCAAGACACTTAACCCCACTTTGCCCAAAGCCCCCACTGAAAGATCAAGGCTATGCTCACAGTCAGAGAGCAGCCGTCCTCCTGTGGACTCACCACCTGCAGAGGGTCAGTGAGGGGCTGGTGCTATGAGACTTGGGTGGCATCTCTGACTGCCACCCCCCTGACCCAGAAATGGATTAAAGGGTAGAAAATGGATGAATATTCGACCCTATGATGTTTATCGTCTAACGTACAGAACTCATCGAAGGTTGTTTTCTTGAGAATAAATGCTTTAAAATGACATGTGAGACTCGGCCATAACAATCTTGTCATCCAATCAGAGCGGCAGGTTCAGAGTTTAAAGTGTGCGTTTGTGTGTGTGGAGTGCTCTCTGATCAGCTGTAAGCGCCTGAATGAGGAGAACAACTAGGACCAGAGCAAAACCTGTGAAAAGTCCATTTTCCTCTTGTTTCCTCTTGGACTAAGAAGACCTCAGAGAATACCATCATTTAAACCAGCAACAGCACACACCATCAAACACCAGCACACACCATCGCACACTCCTCACGGCCTCCTCACGGCCTCCTCACGGTCTCCTCACGGTCTCCTCACGGCCTCCTCACGGTCTCCTCACGGCATCCTCACGGTCTCCTCACGGTCTCCTCACGGCCTCCTCACGGCCTCCTCACGGTCTCCTCACGGTCTCCTCACGGTCTCCTCACGGTCTCCTCACGGCCTCCTCACGGCATCCTCACGGTCTACTCACGGCCTCCTCACGGTCTCCTCACGGCCTCCTCACGGTCTCCTCACGGCCTCCTCACGGTCTACTCACGGCCTCCTCACGGTCTACTCACGGCATCCTCACGGTCTACTCACGGCCTCCTCACGGTCTACTCACGGTCTCCTCACGGCCTCCTCACGGCCTCCTCACGGCCTCCTCACGGCCTCCTCACGGTCTCCTCACGGTCTCCTCACGGCATCCTCACGGTCTCCTCACGGCCTCCTCACGGTCTCCTCACGGTCTACTCACGGCCTCCTCACGGTCTACTCACGGTCTCCTCACGGCCTCCTCACGGTCTCCTCACGGTCTCCTCACGGCCTCCTCACGGTCTCCTCACGGCCTCCTCACGGCCTCCTCACGGCCTCCTCACGGCCTCCTCACGGCCCGCTCACGGTCTCCTCACGGTCTCCTCACGGTCTCCTCACGGTCTCCTCACGGTCTCCTCACGGTCTCCTCACGGTCTCCTCACGGCCTCCTCACGGCCCGCTCACGGTCTCCTCACGGTCTCCTCACGGTCTCCTCACGGCCTCCTCACGGTCTCCTCACGGTCTCCTCACGGCCTCCTCACGGCCTCCTCACGGCCTCCTCACGGTCTCCTCACGGTCATCTGCACTTAGCGCCGCTTTGATGTGGGCGGCTCCGGTCCTCGCCATGGTTTTGAGTCCAATATGAGAGTTTTACAGAACCAGGAAGAGACGAACCAGGTGTCAAAGAGAACACACAAAAACATGGACAGAGCTCAGGATGTCTCAGATTCATAATAACTTAACCTTTAAATAATCACCCATAATTAGGGCTGTCAAACGATTAACATTTTTAATCGAGGTAATTACAGCTTGAAAATTAATTGATCGTAATTAATAGCGTTTAGAACTATTGACAAAATGATGCCATATTTTTCTGTAAATACCTGCAGTTGTTTGAATGGAAAGATAAATGACAGTGTTCATATGTATTAGTTTATTATAACAACAATAAATCCATATAAAATATTAACATTATGAACATTCTGTGTTTCTGTTTAGACTCAGACCAAAACTATTGTTTGTTACAGATGAGGGACATTTAAAACAGTCGTTAACTCTGTTTGATTCACAACATTTTACTTTTGGGCACAACCAACATGAGCGGGTAGTGGAAGGGAATTTAGGTACCCCAGCTTTAATTCAGCGAGTTTAGTTGCGCTGAGGAGAAGCAGACACTTCAGTCCAACTTCAGCGCTGCTTCTATTGCGTAAACAGGTTACACACACAACAAGCAGAGAATAGTTCAGTGTCTATGGTCCTCTGTCTATGGTCCTCTGTCTTCTGTCTATGGTCCTCTGTCCATGGTCCTGTGTCCATGGTCCTGTGTCTATGGTCCTGTGTCTATGGTCCTGTGTCTATGGTCCTGTGTCTATGGTCCTGTGTCCATGGTCCTGTGTCTATGGTCCTGTGTCTATGGTCCTGTGTCTATGGTCCTGTGTCCATGGTCCTGTGTCTATGGTCCTGTGTCCATGGTCCTGTGTCTATGGTCCTGTGTCTATGGTCCTGTGTCCATGGTCCTGTGTCCATGGTCCTGTGTCTATGGTCCTGTGTCCATGGTCCTGTGTCTATGGTCCTGTGTCCTGTGTCTATGGTCCTGTGTCCATGGTCCTGTGTCTATGGTCCTGTGTCCATGGTCCTGTGTCTATGGTCCTGTGTCCTGTGTCTATGGTCCTGTGTCCTGTGTCCATGGTCCTGTGTCTATGGTCCTGTGTCTATGGTCCTGTGTCCATGGTCCTGTGTCTATGGTCCTGTGTCTATGGTCCTGTGTCCATGGTCCTGTGTCTATGGTCCTGTGTCTATGGTCCTGTGTCCATGGTCCTGTGTCTATGGTCCTGTGTCTATGGTCCTGTG